GTTGCCGACAGGTAGACCTGTCTTGATCTTGTGCTATGTTAGTGAAACCAAGAGCGCTCAGCCCTCGGCCCCCAAGGCTCCCAGTGGGTGTGGAAATTTGGCGGTGGCAGAACAATGGCACTGCTCCCCCACTATCAAATTTTCAGACTTACGGGGAGCCCCTGGTCCTGCATGCTGGATCTGGCATCCCATCCCAGCACGCAGGGCCAGGCAGAAGCAGCACTGAGCTCCAGGGCCCAATCCCAGTGTGGTGGGCTGGGAGGGGGCAGTGCTGTGCCCCCACAACCCAAACCTAGTGTGCTGGGGCAGAAGGGAGTAGAGCCAGGCCCCCTAGGATCAATCTCAATGCCAGGCCCCCAGGACCCAATCTTGGTGCACTGGTGTGGGAGGGGGCAGTATCGGGCCCCCAAAGACCAATCCTGACATGAGGGGACAGTGCCAGGCCTTAGAGCCTGCTCCCAGCACTCGGAGCAGGGAGGGGGTGGTGCAAGGCCAGATCCTGGCATGCAGAGCTTGATCCAGCCCACAGACCAGCCTTGCTCCACTCACCTGCCTGATGGGGCCAAAAGATTGAGCACCAGTGAGTTAAATGATTTTATACATGGAAGAGTTGGCTCTCACCTAAGTTTCAGGGGACCCAGAGTGTTTGCATGGTACAACCCATTGCTGCAGATACTATAGCAGCCAGCAGGCTTTTGGCAACTGCATCAGAAGCCAATACAAAAGAAACTCCTCATCATCACAGTCATCGTAGACTCAACTTACCATCGTGCTTGGGGCCAGTTCTTACAATCCAAGGTGTGAGTTGGTGGTGCAGGGTAGGCCTGTTGTGCTGTTGTATATATATCTTTGCACATCAAGCAACCTTCAAGGTTAATAATATAGTACGTGCCATTGTGCCTAAAAGGAAATGCTTGAGTTGATTTTTTTTAATAGTATCCTCCTTTCCCTCTTCTTTAATTGTATGGTTATTCATGATCTTTATTAGATGCATCTTCTTCGGGTCCTTTCCGCCCACTCTGAATTTAGCTTGGAATGGAGCACTTTAAGCTTGAAATCAAAAATCAGAATCATGGTTTGGAGCGTTAGCAGAATTCACTAGTAATCTGACAGGGTTGCAACATGAATGCTTCTGCTGTGGCCCCCTGCTTGAGATGAAGATGCACATTATTGTGGCTTTTGGGGTTTGAAAAACCTGCAGAGAGCTGAATTAACCGTTGATATGGACAGTGTTGTTTTTTTTTAATTAGGTACTTCCGGAAACGTTTGCTTGCAGGCAGCTGTTGAGTTTTCTGTTTTCAAAGGGCTGCAGTGTTTGTGGTTAAGTTTCATGTGCTGGCTTCCTTGGAGGCCTTCTAGAAGTATCATTGTTACTGCCAATATCTTTTGTAACCATTTAATTGCAGTCATTTATTTAAGTGATCAAAGCAAATGTGTTCAGAGGACGCTGCGGCATTTGGTAACCATGCGCTAAAGCTGTTGGTACTGCTAATTATAATCTGGGATAGTCTCTTCAAGGTTTCTGTGGGTGGCCACGTCATCTATTACTTGCACACAAACTTGAGAACTTTTCTTTCTCCTGCTTTCATCCCCTATGTACGTTGATCCATTTTAGAATGCTTTTATCTGCTCCGTGGGATGGCTTTAAGGAAGCCTGATAATAACCTCCAGAAGCAGAGCCTTTGGGGTGCATAGCATTAAAACATTATCTGAAGAACTGGATTTTGAACACATTTGCAAGTGTAGGTTTGGTCAGACAAACCCAAGCACTGTGGGAGGCCTCTCAATGGCAGTGTGTCATGACCAAAGGCAATTATGCAGCATTTTTGTGCTATTATGTAACAAATATGCTAACCAGGTTGAAATTTTCTCCGTGGGATTTGTGCAGGTTACTTTATTCTGCCTTAGTGGTTCTTTCAGCATTCTTTGAACATAAGATCAGCCTTTTCATTAAGACCCTAGCCACCTGATGGTGTATGATTGATCATGGCCCCTCAGGGTTCTTTGAGATGCTGCGAAGCTGCCTTATTCTCTTCGTTACCAAACTGAGTGTCGTGGTGTCGTTATTAAATTTGTTTAGCTGGCAGAAGGCCTCCAATCATACTTAGACGTGCAAAAGTTCCAGCGTTGGTGTTGCCTCTCACATCAGTGTTTGCTCGGTCTCAAGCCTCCCTTTTTGAGCAAGACAATTGACTAGCTGCTGCCTTCTCCCTTTTTAGTTTAGTTGGACACTTGATATTTTGAGTATGCTCTGTTTTGCAGGGGAGAAGGACTTATTCCAGCTGTTCTTGCTGGTAGGGTCTAGGCTAAACAGAGCCATGAATGAATCTATGTTAATTTTAGAGACGGCATTTTGATCAAACAGCTCAGTATTTAGATGCAGTTGGTGGCTGAGAGATAGCAGGGTGTGTTTAAAACTGGACTTGAGTGAGTCCAGTTGTACCAGGAAGAAGGTAACAAGAAGGGTTTGGACAGATGTTACCTGTTGAAGGCTGATCTGTGCTCCTGCATTGCCTAGTTTAGTGGTGTCAAACCACCTTCTGCCCCAGGCCAGATCTGGATCAGGGAGCTCTTTGTAGGTGGAACCAGTGGTGGTGGGGCAAGCACACTGATTGCTGTGGCCAGTCCTGGGTTGTGCAGCAAGCCACTTTCCCCGGCAAAACCCATCAGATGAAGCAGCCCCGCAGGCCGCACGTGTAACCTGCTTGGCTTAATGTGTCCTGCATCGGTTGATGATACCACACCCAGCTCGAAGGTAGATCATAAGACACATCTTGTCTCGACCTCTGCTTTCCAAAGCAGGGAAGCAAGTTAGGGACTGTCGCTTTCATTCAGTCCTTTCCGGAGCCAAATGTGCAGCATGGAAGTGGGTTTTACTCAGACAGCTGGTACAGACCGCGTTTTCGCTTGTCCTGTGGTGACCTTGCAGCAGGAGCAAACGTCTGATTTGATTATTATTAATGGCTGTAGCACTCCAGAGGGCACTGTGTACTGCATAGACATTCATAGGAAAGTAGGGCTGGAAGGGACCTCATATAGTCATCTAGTCCAGCCCCCTGCTCAAGGCAGGATCATCCCCGACTAAACCATCCCAGCCAGTTCTTCCTGTTTGTTCCCCACGCTTCTCTCATTAGCGTATAAACAATTTTGGGTGTCTGAGCGTTCATAACGTGAAGGTGTCTATTATTGCTTCCCCTTACTAAGTTTTTATGCAGGTCTCCAGGCTCTTTATTTATCCTCTGTGCTTTTGTCTCCATCTCCTGGTTAACCTAGTCTAAAGCCCTTCTCACTAGGTTGACTAGCCTGTATGCAACGTCTCTGAAAAAAGGCTGTGCCAAACTCAGTGTAGACAGTGCTTATGAAGTACATACTGGTGGTGGTGCTGTGGTATTAGCAGCATCCTCTCTCCTAATTTTTAAGGCTTCTAATAGCGACTCAGAAACTAACAGTCAGAAAGCTCAAAAACTCGTCACCTTCAGGGCTGTTAATACCACTATAGTGATAGTGCCACGTACAACAGAACATCTGCTATCCAGAATAATTAGCGTCACCATCCTTCTGGATAATCATTCTTTCCAGGTAATCAAACGCCACAGTACGAAGTGCTGAAAACTATAATTACTGACTATAAAAACTATAAATATTAGAAAGACAGCAAGCCATAAATGTATAGTACTGTGTAACATTTTAAAATCTCAAAGGACTAGTAAATAACACACAGCTGTCTCACCAACAAGCAAAACCCAGCTGCAGCCTGGTGATTTTGTTGATACAAAACTTCTGGTTAATTGATTTTCTGGTTAATTGACTCTCTAGGAAACTTTGAGAGCATTGCTTATGGCACTGTCGGTGCACTGATTGGGCCCCCTCATCTTCAAGGCTTCTAATAGCGCTGCTTTGACAGATGTTCTGCCTTCACTTTTGGTGGTACAGTTAGTGATTCTCATCTGGGGTGCTATAAGATCCTTTCAAGGGTGATACAGTGCCGCGCAATATTAGCCCTGCTAGATGTGCAAACTCTTGCGCGATTCACAAGACAAACCCAGAGATTTCAAATAGGAATTTAGTGTCAAAAATCTTCTGTCCTGTTGTGGGCTTTCTGAGTTTTTTGCAAGAGTAATTTCTCTGTTGTTTTTCTGTAGTGAAAAAATGAGGGAAAGCTAAGAGCTGGCATTTTCCAGTGGGTGCCTCAAGTCTAACAAGGTAGGCCCCGAGTCCAAAGAGTTTAAGAACCACTGAGTTAAACAGGGGTACTATTAATTACAAAGTAGGGGCAGACATAGCTGCAGTTACTACTATATAACTGAAGTACAGTTGGTAAAGTAGACCACAGGGCTGAGAGATCCTACGCACTTAAGCAATGTATTCGATCACCTGATATTTAGCTAACCAAGATCTGTTATGATGGGGGCGATAGGCAGCAAATCGTGTGTTACACCAGTGGTTTTCAACCTGGGGTCCGTGGATCACCAGCGGTCTGCAGGCTATGTCTAAGGGGTCCGTGAAAGAGGAGTATGATCAGTCAAAAGTATGTGAATACCCACACTTACAATTCAAAGGGGTCTGTGCCTCCACTTGAAACTTTTTGGCAGTCCACAACTGAAAAAAGTTTGAAAACCACTGTGTTGTGCAGTTAAGCGAATTATGTACTTCTCCAGTATGCCTGTAAAGTGGAATACACTATATGAAAAGAGAAGGTTGCTGTGCTAAAGGGTTGATGGTCTTATCTTAGACAATATATAAATGAGGGTGACTATAGCAATGGAAGAAGTAAGGCAAGAAGATGAAATGGTGATAGGACAGGGGTAGGCAAAGTCCGGCCTGCGGGCCTGTTTGGGCCCACAGCAGACTCCATTTCTCAGCAGCCTCTGCGCCGGCAGTGCCTGGCTGCTGCCACCAGCCCCAGCTCCACTGCCCAGGCACCCAGGCCCATCCACGCCACACCCACTGCCAGGAGCAGGACCAGCACCAGCATGGGCAGGGCATGTACTCGGGCACCTGGGATGGGGCCACAGCTGGGAGAGAGACGGATGGGCAGAGCCAGGGAGACCCTGGGATCTTGCAATGGAGACAGCATGGGGTTAAGGGCAGGGCAGAGCCGCGATCTGCTGCCCACATGCCCCTGCAACGGGAGGGTTCCACGGACAGGGACATAGGCAGTAGATTTGCGTTCACAAGGACTAGAAAGTTTCTTTTTAAACAAAAACTGAAATTCCTGTGATTTTTGTTATCGGGGACTTCAAGAAAACTGAATAATGCAGGGCTCGTGATGCAGTTCTGAGACAGGGCAGCCCGGTCTGCCTTGCAGTTTTAAACTGAGGGAAGCTGAATTGATGAACTGTGTGCAAATCAAATGGAGTTAGCACTTGCTTATCAAAGAAGGGTGCTGTGAAGTCCAGAAACAAAATTGAATATTATAGCGGCAAACTTATAAGCTCAGCAGTATTCAGCTCTGTTTTTATTATCCTGTATCCTTAATTGCTCTTTTCCCATAAGAGCACATTCAAATTCAGAGTTTCTTCATAACAACACGACTTGTTCAGTGACTCCAGTTTTTTGGAGTCACTTTAAATACTGATTTTAAATGTTTAATCATGAAACATTGATCCAGTTCCCTTTAAATATCTTTATATTTTCCTGGTATCACTTTTCTCCTTCCATGAGAACAAGGCCAAAAATACTGCCATGGCTTTGTGGGGAGAGCTACTTACGGTAGCTTCAAAAATGTGAAAAAAAATTCTGTAGTTAATATAATTGTTCAGATAATTTTTAGAAGGCAGTATAGTAATTGCCTGCTTGGTTGACTTTAATTTTTTTTTTCCTAGAATGTACCTCCAAGTACAGGTCTAATCTTAAGGGGACTTTTGAAATGCCGTCTTGAGGCTTCCTGTTTTATTGATAACTTCAGATTAGATTTTCTCAATACTGCTTGCAGAAGACAGGGTTTTGTCAGCCATGAAAGTTCAGCCCTTCTTTGCACTTCATCAGCGGGAATGAAGGCTGCAGGTGTGCAAGACTTTCACTCCTGTTGCATGAGTATAATCAAGGACAGAACTTGTTCCTGTAGCTAACAGCAGTTCACAGCTCAGTGGCGAGCCCTAAACGAGAATCCAGCTGTGTCACGTTGCCTGTGCAAATCTACCAGTAGCCACTTCCTTTTGTCACCGAAGCGAGCAGAGACAATCCTGCAGTCTCAAGGTGCGGGGGCCTGATGGTCTCTTGAGGTCCCTTCCAGCCCCTAACATCTATGAATCTGGGCTTAAGAAACAGAGACTAGATTGGACTGAAATCAGCCAGGTTCCAGTTATTTTCTTCAAGCCTTTCTTTTTCTTCCGTTTTTTTTCCTGGCACCCCTCTACCAGTGAAACAGGGAAGTGGGTTTTGGTGGTAGCATGGGTTACCGGGAGGTTTCTGGCCACCAGTCCAACTATTACAAAGAAACCCAGTTCTGTCCACTTTAACACCCACTGCCTGGAGATAAGCTAATTGTAGTTCAAAACTGCAAACCAAGACAAGGGCTATGATCATGTTTGACCCTTTAAGACAAAGCCTAAGGGGTTGTTTCCATTGTCTTGGGTAAAACCAGTGACCATGAATGCACAGGGTTGAAACTTCCTCAGCACCCAGCAATTCCCATCTGCTTTCCTCTGAACACATATGCGTTTTCTTTCCAATGCTTGTCACGAGTGTAAATCAAAGATGAGGGCTTATTTTAAGGTGTAAGTTTATTTTATCCACAAAAGGAGCTATGTTCTCTTGGCAGTACCTCTGTAAACCATCTCAAACTTTGCCATAAAACAAGCAAAGTTCAGAATCACTCCCACGGGTCTGAAATGTGTAGGGCCAGGTCACGGAGCAAGTGACTTATTAGACTATCTGGCTGCTTGCAATGCAGGGGGCTGAAGGCAATACTTCAGTGCATAACAGTATTTGCCCAAGGTAAGGAAAATAAATATTTGTAGTGAAACCACTTTGCAAAACCATTTCTTCAGCACTACTTATGAGACAAATCAGGGTTAAACCTGAGCAGATAGGGCTTTAAAAATGTGACATGTCCTGCCCACAGCTGGAAAATATAGTAAATCTAGAGATTGTTTTCACAAAAAGAAAAAGCCTGGCTGGATGTTGCAGCAAGTCGGAATTGCACTGCAGTTATAAAAGGCAGTAGGTGTCTTATCTGTGTTCATTACAGACAGTTCCTCCGAAGGAGAGTTTCTTTTAGGTATGGATCTCAGTGATCCCTTTGCTTCGTATCTTTGTGTTCAGTACAGGAACAGGCATTTTTCTTCAGTGATGCATTAGCACATGCCAACTTCTCTGGTGTCGCTGACTGTTTGCTTTGTGTTGCAGTGGAAGATTGATGACAAACCAGTAAAAATTGACAAGTGGGATGGATCAGCTGTGAAAAATTCTCTGGATGATTCTGCCAAAAAGGTACGTCCTCTCTGACTCGGTTCCTCTTGAAACATTGAGATCTCTGCTTGTGTCCTGAAGTCTCATTGAAAGCCAGCGCCAGTGCTGAATGTCCAGCATCAGGCTCCCAGGGACTATTTCTCTTTAGAGCTGTAACTAACCCTGTAGTTCACTGCCTTCCTTAAATGCTTCCATGTAATTAACCTGTAATTCCAGCATACTTTCTTGCAGCAATAAAATCAGACTATTCAGCATCAGGACTTTTTCCCCTGAGTTTTATAGAACATGTTTTTAACTCTAGGTTCTCAGGTGGGAACGTTCTTCCCACCTCTGTTGCCATTTTCATGAGTCTCATGGATTTGAACTGGACAAAGCAAGTTTGCATCCAAAATGACAGGAACTAATAACCCTTTGCTGTAATTTCCTGTCATTGTAGCGGTCTGTGTGTTGGTGGTGACCCGATCCCTCCTACTCTCTTCCTGTAGTATAGCGTAGGCTTGGCTCTTACTGGTTGCACCGTTGTGCAAGAGGGGATGATCCTCAGGACCATTTTTGGACAAATGGTTACCTGTCAGTACAGGGGACTAGAGTAAATGGCTCGGTTATTCCCCTCCAGTGCTTTATTCCTTTCTGAGACCCAGTTCAATAAAGGGGAAATCATACAATTAACTTTCTTGTCCTAAAAGAATTTCACCTGCTTTCAGGCATCATCTGAATTTAGTGCCTGAAGGTAGTCACAGCACACAGTAACCGGGGCTCTTTGCTTTCTCATCAGGTTCTCCTGGAAAAGTACAAGTACGTGGAGAATTTCCATTTGATCGATGGCCGTCTCCTCATCTGCACAATCTCCTGCCTCTTTGCCATTGTGGCTTTGATTTGGGATTATCTGCATCCCTTTCCTGAGTCCAAACCCGTTCTAGCCGTCTGTGTGGTGTCATATCCTTCACACTGTGCTGCACTTGGCGACACTCGCCTCTTCTCACGAACAAATGAAACACCCCTCATTGCGTTCCTCCTTTCAGGAACTGCTCAGGATATATCAGTTGTTCTTGTCAGAATTTGACAGACTTTGGCAGGTTTCTTTTTAGCTTTCTATTTTCAGTTAACATGACAATCCACATGTCCTGCCTGCTTGCAGCTGCAGTGTGCTCTTGACTAAGAGCACCATAGTGCAGCTGTTTTCTATAGTTCAGGTGCTGAGAGTGCAGTGGTAGCAGGAGCAATTGGTGTACAAGGCTGCCTTTGAGGAAGGAAAGGCAGCATAAACATGGGAGGAGTAGAGAAGCATGAGCCACGGTTAAATCTAGAGAGCGGTTTTAAAGATAGGGGATCAAGGAAGTTTCATAAATCAGTTTTCAACTGTAGTGAAACAGCCCTCCTTTCTCATGGAGCTGTAGTCTCGAGGCACTAGGAAGACATTTCAGAGTGAGCAGATATCACCTATTTGCACTTACCTTGTTCATGCTGATAAAATGTCAACCAAGAACCAAGTTGTAAGCAGTACAGTAAGATGATAAAAGATTAAACAATAGATTTTCAGTGGAGGCAAAGGATTTACTTGTACATTTGCCTTTGTTACGTTGTTGTCGTCATGTGTCCCTCATATTCCTTTCCTTAACTGGCCCGCACTTATTTTGTGATGATGGGGATCCTAACCATCTACACCTCGTACAAAGAGAAGAGTATTTTCCTCGTAGCTCATAGGAGAGATCCCACAGGGATGGATCCGGATGACATCTGGCAACTTTCTTCCAGTCTAAAAAGGTGCAGTGGGTTCTGCAGCTGTGAGGGCCAGCCAGGTGCAGAGCAGTGGAACAGCCAAGCCTTGCCAAGGCCTCTGCCCTGCCTGTGTGTGTTCCTTTGTGGGGTACCTGGTGTGGGATCCGTCTCCTTCCTCTGTACGGACTAACTCAGAGTAGCCCTCAAGTAAGTGGCTGGGGTGCCTCTGCCTGTTGGCTGTGTTGGACGAGCCCTGTGGAAGGAGCCATCTGGTCACTGTTTCATGCGCTGCAGTCCTTGACAGGTGGCTTCTAAGTCATATTCTTTGTTAGTTATTAATCAGCCCCCCTAAATGTTATCCAGTCCACACCCTTTGCACCTGCCTTTTACCAGTGCTCTACTATCATGACTGCCTATGTACAAATGCTCTAGGTAATTCCTCCTTAATATTTTATTATCCTCTTGAGTCAGTCATGCCTTGTTAAAACTAACTAGCTGAAAATAACAATTAGGTCAGAGCAATCACCTGCCGCTAAGCAGCGGAAGTCTTCCTTTCTCAGCCAAGCTGCCGTGAGATCATTTCAAGGGTGCTGTGTGTTGTCCTATAATGTCAGCACTGTTAGGTGTACCAATGTGGTTCACAAGATAAACCCAGAGATTCCAGGTACGAGTCCATGATGTTAAAAATATTCTGCCCGGTTGTGGGCATGCTGAGTTCTTTGCAACACAAGAATTGTTTTGTTATTTTACTACAGCAAAAGCTGTGTTAACCGGCACCTTACAAGCCGGCATGCTGTGTTAACTGGCTTGCCAGCTTGCAAGGGAAAAGTGAAACCAGAAGGGCCCACCATGGCACTTCCGGTTTCGCAGAGCCCCCACGGCTCGGGGGAAAGCAGCCTGTGCTGCCAAGCCTCCACATCCCAGGCATAGCAGGCTGCGTGGGTCCTCCCTCCCTGTCCCTTGGGGCCCACGGGGCCCACCACGGGAGGGGCAGCAACGCAGCAGGAGGGGCAGCAACACCCCAGACACGGTGGATCAGGCAGCAGCCCGAACAGGCAAAGACGCCTGTTTGGGCCGCTCAGTTATCCGGCATATTTTGTTATCCGGCACCCTCCATTCCCCATGGGTGCCAGATAACAAAGCTTTTACTGTGTAACCGATGTATGTGTTGGGGCATGTAGAGCACCACCTGTATGGACAAAAAGGTGGAGTATCGCATGCCCGGACCTGCAGCTTCTGGAAGCTGTGCCCCTATAGTGAGGATGAAGGAGAATGAAATTTTTTCCACTTGTGCATGGTAACTGTGGTCCTTGGGTTCCCGCCAGGGTCATCATCACCTGCCAGCTCTGCCCAGTTCGGCCAGCCTCATTCTAAACTAGACCTCAGGCCCCTGTTTTTTTGTCCCTCCAGGTTTGATGATAAATACACCCTAAAATTGACCTTCATCAGTGGAAAAACCAAACAGCAGCGGGAAGCAGAGTTCACCAAGTCCATCGCAAAGTTCTTTGACAACAACGGAACATTAGTCATGGAAGCCTATGAGCCAGAAGTCTCCAAGCTTCACGACGGGTTGGCCACAGAAAGGAAAATAAAGTGATCCCAGCCCTTCCCTTCCTGCCAGGGTCAGGCTCAATTACCGGGGTCAGGCTCAATTACTACCAATAAATTCACATCACAACACATGTTAATTGCCTCTGTTTTTGTCCTGAAATCCTATTCAGCTCTGGATAAGCAAGATTTTTAATTTTGGATCCAGGATTTTTAGAGCCAAAGGTCTAGGTGCAGTGGTTGACCTGCCTTTGTGGTGGCTCTGTCACCTTGGAGATAGATGATGGATGACATTTTACCTATCAGTCCTTCAGGAGGGAGTGTTTTTCTCAGTGCTGTGCTGCCTCCCTCCCTTTCACCTGACAGTGCTTTACAAAACAGAGCTCTGTGCCATGCAGTGTTTGGGATTTTCACCATTCACATTTCACCAACTTCCTTTCTTCTGTGGGTTTTTTTTTATTAGGAATTCAGGACAGAATCCTTCTGTAAGACAATTCTGTCCGAGCAAAGCAAGTTTTCTTTATTTTTATATTTATCTAATTGGGGGGGCATTGTTTTTATAGGAAAGCCTTTTCTGTGTCGAAAGAGAGAAACTTAAACCAAGGCGACAGATTATCTTTTCTGTATGGTACAGCACAAAGCTTCTCCACAAGGTGAAAAAATGACAAGTGCTGGAATTTGTAGAGCTGTGAATGTCCTCCGTGTTTGTGTCCTGCTGGCTGTTTTTGCCAAGATCCTGTTCAGTGTGTTCCTTATATAAAATGTCATTTTCTAAATGATTTTTTTTTTCAATAAAAGGAGAGAACAGATGTGAAAACTGTGTGGCACTCTTCATGAGGGGAGAACTTACACGTGCACCATCACCTTGAAGAGGACACTTGTCTGAAAAAGCTGAGCACCTAACACAAGTTACAAGTAACCCCCGAGATAACTAACACTGGAGAGGTCTTTGCAGGGGGTGGAAGCTATTTCAGCTTGGCTCTTTGACCAAGTAACTAAATCCTTGGATGATGGTGTCGCTGTGGACGTAGTCTTTCTAGACTTTAAGAAGACCTTTGACACTGTCTCTCACCCCATCCTCATCAATAAATTAAGTGACTGTGGCATTGATGCCTACACAGTTGGATGGGTAAAGAATTGGCTGATGGGGCGCACCCAGAGAGTAGTGGTGGATGGGTTGTACTCAACCTGGTGAGATGTGAGCAGTGGGGTACCCCAGGGCTCGGTCCTCGGGCCTGCACTGTTTAACATCTTCATCAGCGACTTGGACGAGGGGGTGGAAAGCACGCTGTCCAAGTTTGCCGATGACACTAAGATGTGGGGCGAGGTGGGCACACTTGAAGGCAGGCTACAAAAGTGGGCCGACGAGAATAGGATGTGGTTCAACGTAAACAAATGCAGGGTGCTGCACCTGGGGAGAAGGCATCCACAGCACACATACAGGCCGGGGAGTTCCCTGCTTGAAAGCACAGAGGCGGAAAGGGATCTTGGAGTCATTATTGACTCCAAGATGAACA